TTGAGTATATGATAACAACTTTCGTTCTTTGAAGGGAAATTCTTTTTTTCAAAATTGGACGGGATTGTATGACTACTCCCTCCATCCTAAGAAAACACTTATATCACTGGGATTCAAATTTGTCGAAAAAAATATGCCATTGCAAGTTTGCAACTGATTGAGAGGCCTCACCACTCACCAGGATCATGGGAATTGGTCACGGAGGCGATGATGCGAAGTCACATTTGGACCTACCATAGGTGTGCTTGTCTACGGGAATATGTCATGTTACAGTGTTTTTCTCTCACAGCAAATCAGTATCAGTCGGATTATCAGCCGTAGAAACCATCAGCCAAACAACATAACCTGTACATGCGATGTAACCCAGAAACCAACATAGAGACTTTGTTATCGGCCTTCACAGTAGCAAAATTACTGCAGCCCACTAAAGGAAATCACTTCAACAACTAGGTGCATCTAGGTAAATTATTTGTGTCCTAAATTTGATTGATACCTTATAGAGGGATGGAGTATTTAGTAATTTAGAATTTTTATAATAACATGTTCTTTTTAGTATGGAAATTATTATTATAACAGAGAGACAGGACAAAATGGGAGCAAGACACACGTGACGCAGCACACAGAATGCATTCGCCAAGGAGCAGCAAAGATCCCGGCGCCAAACGCGGCTGCATTGAGTGCACTCATCAAGGAACTCGGTTAGTAAGGCTGTGTTGTGTTTAGTCGGAGGGAAAATTAGAATTTGGGTATTATAGCACTTTCGTTTTTATTTGATAAATAGTGTTTAATCATGGACTAATTAGGCTCAAAACGTTCGTCTCGTAATTTTCCATCAAACTGTGTAATTAGTTTTTTTTTTATTTATATTTAATGCTTCATGCATGCGTCCAAAGATTCGATGTGACGGAAAATCTTGAAAAATTTTGCAAATTTTTTTGCAACTAAACTGGACCTAAGCTGAATTTGGTGGATCAGGATAGGATATAGGCGCATGTATAAAAACTGCTCCATTCGACCTTTAAAGAGTAATAACGATGGGCTGCTTTGGAAGCTTCTATACATAATATGCACAAACGAAATGAATATGGACCGATGGTGCAGCAATTTACGTGACATGATAAAAACTGCTCCATTCGACCTTTAAAGAGTAATAACGATAACATCGGCTAAAATTTATAGTATAGATATCTGTTCTGTATTTATTTCTATATAAAAATATGTTATTTATTTATTATTCTCTATCTGATTTTATATCCGTATTAAAAATAGATGGATATCCAATACTATACGTGTCCGTGATGAATATACTATTAGGTGAAACTATCTAAAAGTTATTGTTGTCACTAATGACTAATTATATTAATTTTATGATATTACTAATATGTACAATTGAAACTATTTAAAAGTGTTGATTAATAATATTAACATCAATATAATGAAAGAAAACATGTAATTAATTTTTATATAAATAATAAAATTAATTTCATATAGCTAATTATGTTAATTTTAATTAATACTACCAATGATATATAATTGGTATTCCACTTTAAAATGTTAAAGCTATTTAAAAATTGTGTCCATGAGTAATTAGTAGCACGTATTTTATTTTAAATACTAATGAGGTATAATTTATATGATTATCAATTTATAATTATATAGTTAATATGACTAACAATGTGCTTTTATAAATGTTCTGTGTAGATTTTAGTATATTTATTATATTTTGATCTCACATTACATGATTTGTTTATCTAAAACCATTTGGTGGATATTTATATAGACTAAAAATCTAAATGGACATCTGGATGTGAATCCGTATCTGAAGTATCAGTTTTGTATTAGTATTCGATAATATTTGTATTCGTATTCATATCCTAATGAAAAATATAGTAAATAGTAATATCCGTACTTGATTCTATGCATATTTTTCCAACACTTTAAAGATGGCAAAATCAGACAAATAATCTCTTTCATGTGACGGGCAATAAATGCTGGATCGCGACTCGTGAGAGGTCACTTTAGCATGAGTACGACTGGCCCAGGAGTGGCCCTATGGGCCAAATCACTGTCGCCCCACAAGTGGCTCTTTTGGGCTCCGAGGCCGCTATCTGTTCCTTTCCGTTTGACTGGACGTGCTCCTCCTACCTTGGAATATACGAGATAGGCCAATTCCTACGTGTCTTGGTCTACTGGGCCTCAAAGAGCCCTGTCATCAGCTTTACATTTCATACATATGTGATCTATATATTTTTGATATTTTATTATTTGCAAATATAAATGTCCTGAAAAGGATTTAGCCAATTTAGACAGTGAAATTATAACGCCAAGTCAACAAGCAACCGAAGGCCACGTGGCCGTGACGTGACATGCACAGGCAGGATGAGCATTTGCCTACCCGTCGCTGGATGAGATGGCACCTTGCTAGATTTAAATATACTCCGTAGCTGTGGTTTTCAAATTTAGCAAGTTGTTGGAGATGTTCATTTCGACGATCTACAAAGACAACTATACTCCACAAGAGGCTCTAAACACTCTGCTACGTACCGTGGCTCTTTGAGTCTTGACAACTGAAGTATATCGTCGACTTCAATGACTCTTCACCCCTGAAGGCCATGAGAAGACAACTTGAGAAAACATAAATCTTATGTCATGAATCTATACAATGTTTTTAAAATCGATGGTCAACGACATAAATATTAAATGTAAGACCGAGCTAATACAACAACAACAACAAAATCTTTAAGTTCCAAACAAGTTAGGGTAGGCTAATACGATATATAAAAATCAAAGGGAGTACATTAGGGTATTATAACACCGTTATGCTTCAGCATATTGTCAATGCCCTCCACAATGTGCCCCTAAGTGATGCTAGAAAAGAGAGGAGAAGATTTAAGCATCAATAGACACGCTACAGTATGTGATGCCAGCTTCAGAAAAAAATGGGAGCAAAGCAAGTAGAAGCATCGGTGCCCGTTCAATAAATAATACGAAAGAGAATAGAGTGTTAGAGAGCCTTTTATTGTTTTCTATTGGTTTGCTGGCTCTAGGAATCAAACGCACGCAGTATACATGAGTGATGCCAGTTTTTGCATATGGGGGCTAGACTTTTGGGGCATCACTTCCACGCTGTGGAAGGCCTAAGACCTACAACATGTTGCTTGTCCTTTCACTGCATGAGCTACTGGTCTAAATCAACACATGTGTTTGTTTCACTCACCGATAACGTAAACGATTTGGGAAATGGATTGAGAGAGATAGCACTGGGATTAATGATCACTTGATATCTTTAGTTTGGCATGATAATGTCACTGAGCAGCACGGGGATCAGAATCGCTCAACTGGCGGCGGCAGGTAGTGTGATATCGCTTGAAGAAGGGAGGACTCAACGGTGAATAGGCAGATATCTAATTACGTTGTGCCATGCAAACACCACTTGGGTTCAAGATTGCCAAAAGGCGGGTTTCTAAAATGCCAATTTGGTCGAAATTAATCTAAATTTGATCTTTTTTTTTGTTTGCACGTGATTTCCCAATCCATCTTTAACTCGTCTTATCGTATTTTGTCGCTTTTCATTCCCTCAGTAATCAGATAATGTTACATCTTCACTAACCAAACACCATCTCCACCAGGCGTGCTGCCGGTTGTGGCTTTTCGCAGGATCAACCAGATGAATTTGTCCGCGCGGGTACTGAGGTCGTTACTTTGGATCATCATCCAATTCGTTCTCACCTTTGCTTTCAACTACCTTGGCGGAAAAGGGCTGCTTTGGATCAACATCCGGTTCTCACGTTACGACTGTAACGGTGTAGAATCCGTTAGGATTGACTGATTGTAGTTTCTATCTTTTTTGCCACAATTTGCTTCAGATTCGAGGATACACCGTGCGTTCGGGCCTCAACAAAACGCTCACAAATCGATCTCTGACAGAGTTGATGCGGTGTGGTATGGGTCTCTGCAGCAAAACATGACGCTGAGAGATGCTGCCGACCTGCCGTGCATGGTCCTCCCTCAGCTCCCACGCGGAACCGCGTCAGAATGTAGTGCCATGAATTAAGCTCTGAAATTGCAGAGGGATATCAGTGAACAAGAACCAAGCCGCATGCGCCGTCACGGGTTCCCGCGTACGGATACGTCATACGTACGTACAGGCATCGTGGCATAATTCGTGTTTGAGCACTCATACTTTAACTAGAGTTATATAAACGATTTTTTAAGATGTCCCATCAGGCAGTTCATGTTTTCAACCGCTCCTGGGAATCAATTTCTAAGTGCGGTTAGATACGCCTCTATAAATCTCTTATTTTACACATACTTAGATAGAGGCGGGTGGGACACCAGGTGCTAAAATATATATATTTTTTATCACCTCTGGAAATGATTTGTGTGATAATATTCATTTTTTTGAGTCTGAGAATTCTTGCTTTTGATGCTAAGAGTTGGAGTTCCCTTCCCACTTGTTACCATTGTATGATTGCATTCCATATTGGCAATATCTTATGTACTTATAAAATAATTGGTATCAGTATTTTTTCCAAATCATAGTGCATACTTGGACTGAGCCGGCACGTCTCTAAATCAATATATATCGAAAAAGTCATCACAGACGTCTCATGATCAATATACATGTAACTTACCGCTAAAAGAATAGTACCATTTAACCCATAATAAATAAATAAAAATACAAGCACCCGTATTAAGTTAAGGATGTAAATCTAGACGGACATATTTCACCACGAGAAATCTATCCGCGCTCAATTTACAAATGGTGCCGGCAATTAGACGTTGCCATAGCAACATAGTATGTATGAGTGAACTCACATTTTGGGCTCTCCAAGGTCTATGTGATTGGGATGTGCGTTTTGGAGATAGAACAATGGACGTGTCAAAATACAAGTATTGCTTGATACCATTGATGAAGTAGTTACAGGCTTGCAATATGCACATTACAACCCAAGCTAACATGAGACACAAAACATTCCAAATCCATTGTTTGCTTCGTCCTAAACAAATTCGCCGCCACCAGCGCCACTCTTCTTCTGGTCGACGAGGCCGCCGTCTTCCCCGTCTCCGGCAGCCTCCACGAGACGGTACCCTTGATCCTCGCAAAGTACCAAGACATAGAAACCGATGAGCACGACGAACGACGCCATGGCCCAGACAAGGAGCACCAACGCGGGCGGCATGATCAGGGACACCCGGTAAGCGAACGCGCAGCTCAGTGCGGTGGAGAGGACCCACACGGCGACCTGAAGACGCCGCCGTCTCTCGTCACGCTCACGCACGGGGCCAGGAGACGGCGCCGCCGCCGTCAGCCGCTCTACACGGCGGGCGCACCAGAAAAGCGCAGCGAGGTCAGCGTAGGCGAAGGCCACGAACGCCAGGTCGTCCCGTGGGCGGTCGCCGTGCACCTGCCGCCGGACCAGGCTGCACGCGAGCAACAGGCCGAACAGCAGCGCCGGCAGTGCCGGGAGTAAGTCGAGCGCGAGCGCGAGTGGGCTCCCGTCGTTCGCCGTCGTGTCGTCGGACGTGTGGTGGAGCAGCGCCAGTCTGGAGGATGGAGTGCCGTCACTGCGACCAGAGGCGGTGACCGCCATGGCGAGGACAGAATCACACTAGCTGATGATCAATGGATCGAGCTCAAAATGCAGGAGCACAAGGAACCGAATGAGAGCTAGCAAGAGTTTCCTAGACTAGCTTGGTGGTATTGAGTTTGTGTTGCCTAATTGCGCAGGTATGTATTTATATGAGCAATGTGCTCATATTTGATCCTACGCGACGACGCACCGTCGGGGTCGTCGCCTAGAGATTTCCCAACAATTTAGAGTCTGACGCAAACACGGATGGAACATGGATATCTTCACACCATGGAGCACCTTGTAGACTCGCTGTTTCGTCTTCTCTACACAGAACAAGAGGAAAAGACCCGCAGTTTTCCTCGTCAGATGAAACCGCAGCAGTCGAACACCTTTGTTGACTAGATCTTTTGCTCGACTATTTTTTATGGTACATGAAACAAGAAGTAATTTCAGAAACGCACAAGTTGGCAAGAATCCTAAGAGCCATTAGATAAGAATATAGCTGATGAGTTCGCAACCAAGTACCAGGTATCAAACAGTTGGGCAACATGGTCTGGTCTCTATTTCCAGCACCAAAACAAAACTTAAGAACAAGTACTTGACAGTAGTATCATCCACTAGTGGCGGCATCGGGGAAAAAAAAACAGGGTATTATCTACTACGTCTACCTGCCTCACTTCTTCTCATCCTTCTCCGCCTCAGCCGCCTTCTTCTGGCGGGCACCGAGGTGTTTCTTGTTCATCCGCTCAAGGCGGAGCTTGCCGTAGGCCGCGAACGACTTCATCTCGTCGGTAACCTTCACGACCTCGACCGAGCGCTTCTCACCACGAGTAATTGGCATGTAGTCACCCTGGACCTGGGTGACAGTGGCAAGCTCCTCAGGGGTAGAGTCACCAGCCTGCATTGAAGGTAGGTGATCGGGGATTAGAGGTCAAAGCAAACAGGACGTACTTCTTCAAGAGACGAGACATTCAGGAAAAGATTTCTACCCATACCTTGACCTTGCGAGCACGCCTTGGGAAGATAACCAGCTTGGCCTTGTATGTCTTAAGCCTCTGGACATTGGCCTGCAGTCCCTCAAGGGATTTGTTCTTGCGGCGGTGATCCACGGAAATGCCAATGGTCGGGGCAAACTTCTTTGGAATGCCTGCTGCCTGCAATCAATAAGATAACTCTAAACATCAACTCCAAGGATGTAACACAATACATCGACGAAAAGAGTAACATTTATATCTCCAATGAAACAAAACATAAACAACATATTGTTACTCAGAAGGTAACTGAATGAGGATCAATGAAAAAAAATGTGTCAATCAAGCCACATCTGAAACAAAACGTAAACGACATATTGATACTCAGAATGGGAAAGAAAAACTCCCAAGCTACTTGAGTACAAAAAAAATTGCAAACATAAGTAGACTTGTCATCATGCAAAGAGAGTGAATATCAACCTCAGCAGAGCAATTGGCACAAAAAAAAAATGTGCCATACAAATTGTATACAGCAGCAGATTGTTTCATATCAGAACAACGAAAACAAACTAGGACAATCAAAAAAGCTCAAGAGGAACTCAAATGAAAAGACAACAACAAAGCAATGCATCACCTTCAGCTCCTCAAGGGTAAAGCCTCTCCCAGCCCTTGACTTCATGTTGTACTTGAGAGTCTGGCATTGCACAATGGGGCGAAGAGCGCCAGCAGTTGGGCGTGGGAATATCTTCACAGCCTTCTTTTGACGAGCTGCATACAGAACATAGCAGGGTCGAATTAGAAAGTTGTCAATAACCATGTGAAAGATAAGGGGGCAAATTACACACAAGTAGTCAGTAAAGATGCAACATGAGTGCAATTATTAAGTAAAGGGAACTTTTATTTTGATTCGTTCATTGATAGCACAACAGTAGTATAGCAAAGAAACCAGTGTACTGCAAATTAGATGCATGCAGAGGCCAATTAGCATCTTGTGGCATCATGATTGGTACTAGTGTATGCACTAAGTCACAAACTAACAAAGTAAAAAGACACAAAAATAATGAGGGTAAACACAGATAAGTAGCTATCATCCTCCTTACAAGGTGAAGGTGTTGTGGTAGGAACAAGGAACGGCTAACTGGTGTTACAGTTTTCAGAATGGCAAACTATACGATCATGGATTTCTTGTGTATCAATACGGATACCACAGTATCCTTTTAGCACTAAATGACCAACCAAATACAAACCCAAATGTACGAAATTGCAACAAACTAATATTTTTCAGAATGGCAAACTATACAATCACGTATTTCTTGTGTATCAATAAGGATACCACAGTATCCTTTTAGCACTAACTGACGAACCAAATAGAAGCCCAAATGTACGAAATTGCAACAAACTAATACTTGCACAGATTTATTGTCGACGACATTGAGAGAGAGTATTGCAATTTGCTGGGCAAGACAAACTAATTATTAAACGACTAAGTCTTGAATTCAAGCACGCAACATAATGGAATGCTAAAAGAGGGGAAGGGGCGAAGAGCTCACCGATGCGGCGCCTCTGCTTGCGAGCGGGCTGGTTGAACCATGTCTTGACATAGTTCTGCCAGTGCTTCTTGAAGTGCCCGTTGGGGATAACGTTGTTGTGCTTCACCATTTCACCCTCTTCCTCTCCTTCTTACCTGCACGTCAGTGCAATAACCACGCCATCAGAGGAGCCAGCCAAACAACAAAGGGGAACAAGAATTAACGAGCCGCCAAAGCTCCATCCTTAGGGCAGATTGCAGCATCAAAGCAGGCATGGTCACTAGTAGACGCACGTAAACACGCCAGGCACACCAATCAAGTGCATCACGTAGCCTACTGCTAACCAGTCGATCCAGAACCCGAAGCCTTCGCGGAGCTAGATAAGCGCGCGCATCGGATCGTCACCCATAAGAAACGAGCGCCCCATCCACCCGCAGAACGGTGCGGGGGACGGCGGCGCAGGGGAAATGTGGCAAGCGAGCGTACCTGTAGAGGAGACGCGGCGGCGGCGGAAGGAGCAGACGGGGAGGGGCGTGAAGTGGAGGAAGGGGGCTTTGGGCTAGGGTTCCGTGCTTATTGTGGGGTCGCGGGTGCCGCGAGCCCTAGACTGGACGACCGCTGAGTAAGAGCAGGCCTAACGGGCCATCCTGGACACGTGAAGCCCATTTACGGTTGGCTGAGATATCGCAATGGGCCAGTTAGTTGTGGGTTTTTTTCTGACGAGGAAAAGGTGACAGCCCAATGGGCAATGGGGCAGTTACTTCTGGGTTTTCTTCGGATATAAGGGAAAGATGAAAAGTTGTTTTTGCGTACTAATTATCGTCGTTGTACTCCAATTTTCTCCACAAGCCTTAAAAGGGGGGAAAATACCTCCCTAAAGTCAAAATGATTTAAATTAACTTACTAGCTAGGTTAGAAATGATTTTCAAGGTGGTTTGGTCATTTTGAAGTTAAAAATTCTAGTAAACATCTAAAAATATTTTTAACTAGAAAAATATATAAAGTCTCAAGAAAAAATCCAAGAGATAGATTAAGATACGATAAATTCAAATAAACTATTTAAAGATAATGAAAATACATCTAGAAGGTTTCATAATTAGATTCATCTCAAACAAAACTGGAAAAACTATCCAAAAATCTAAAATAAATCCAAAAGATTCTAATCAATGTCTAAACATGTGTTAAAAAATTTCACAACAAAAAACACAAGATGCAACCAGCATGAATACCTTTAACTTTAATGTATGTTGCGTTTATGTTGGTTGCATCTCTTATTTTTCTTGTGGAAAGTTTTAGAAACACATTTAGACATTGATTAGAATGTTTTATACTTTTTGTTTCTAAGTATTTTTAAAAAAAAAAAATTAGAGCTAAATCTAATTTGTAGAAGCTTCTAGATATATTTCATGATTTCTAAATATTTTTATTTAAGTTTCTCGAGTCCCAATCTATCCTTAGGATATCTTTTCGGAATTTTTAGAAGCTTAGAAATCATTTTTAAATGTGCTCTAAGTTATGTTGTTTCCTGGTTCGGTTCCTACTAAAAACCTTGAGCTAGCGCTCCTAATAAAAATTATGGTAAACCTTTGTCACTTATTGACGTGAATATCGGTCCCATACATAAAGCACTAGAATGCATGGATCACAAAATAGTCCGAAGAATGTAGTGAATAACCATGCATTCTATCGCTTTATGACGAAACTAGCCATTCTTCATCACGTAAGCCTAAGTCGGTTTTTATGGGGTGAAATCCCAATACCCTAATTTCTTCATCTGGACTCCGATTTGGATGTTCTATATATGTTTTTCGATCATCTCGATGAGAGGAACACAATTGTGAAATTCATTCCTCGGTTTGGAGAAGTTTACAAAATTGGCTTTAGCTGGCTTCTGCTGTATGATTTTCCCAAAGTTGCATTTTCACCATCCGAACCTCAAATTGGACATTCTATGTATGTTTTTCAATTGTCTCGTGGTTGTGGAGGCCAATATGTATTTTGATAAAGTTACCAAAATCTACTTAACTGACTTAGGAAACTGGCTAAATCTGTTGCTCCTAGAAAAATATTGGATCAGCCCATTTTGACAATTTTAATTGTCAACATCGCCCTTCCAAAAACTTCTTTTCCAAACGGTAGTCACAACTCACAGGGATGTGCAAGTTTCTAGTGCAATCCCTCATCGACAAAAACATGTGCTGACAAGCATAGCCATTGCAGTTCCGGTGAAATGCACAAAGGGGATTTATGGAGGATCCGACATGCATGACACGGATTGCAGTTTCGTCGAATCAGAAATCTTCCATGTTTGCGCTGTTCATTCATGCCCAAATACACACCAAATTGAAAACCAGATTCCATTTCCACCAGCATTTGATCATTTTCACAGGCCGGCAGCCTACGCTACACAAGAAACAGATCGAACGCGGATAGGGGGCCTCGGATTCGCCGTCGGCCCGGCCCACGCTCAGTCTGACAGGTCGTGCTCGTGCCAGCAGAGCAGCATGGTGACGCAGCG